GTGCGTGTCTTATGTTCTCAAGGCATTTGATTAGGGTAAGGGTGACTGTCGTATTTGAACGGATATTTATACAATACTTGATGTTGATTGCCTGTACTAGACACAGGAAAATGTCTGTGAATACATTGAACAAATAAATCATGGATGCATCTCCCAAACCTAAGTACTGATACTCTCTTTAAAAAAAAAACAAAAAACAAAAAACACTTGCCAGGCAATAGTGGAGCACACCTTTAAATCCCAGCACCCTTAAGTAAAAGGCAGGTGGATCTCTGAGTTTGAGGTCAGTCTGGTCTACAGAGCGAGTTTCAGGACAGCCAAGGCTACACAGAAAAACCCTGTCTAGGAAAAAACAAAAAACGAAACACTTAGGTTTTAGATTTATTATTTTTTATGTATATGAGTGTTTTGTCTGCGTGTATGTCTGTGCACCACATGCATGCCTGGTACCCAAGGAGGTCAGAAGAGGTGTCACATCTTCTGGAACTAGAGTTACAGACAGTTGGGAACTGTCATGGTGCTAGGAACGGAACCTGAGTCCTCTGCAAGAGCAACAAGTACTCTTAACCATAGCACTAACTCTCCAGCCCCCAGCACTGATATTTGTTATGATGGGTTACCGCATGATAAATTCACGGTAAATTGAAAATGCATTTACAGGGGTGGGGAGAGGTGGGAGAAGGAACTGGAAAGAGAGAGGGGAGGGGAAACTGGTTGGGATGTCAAAACAAAAGCGCATTTACTATTCCTGACCTTTCCAGTCATAGCCTAGCAACGTAACACACGCTACAGTGTTGGGTGTTTGCTTTCGGCTAACTGGGTAGTAGCTAGTTGTACAGGATTTTCTAATGATGCTGAGAAAGCATTGTAAAGCTGTCACTAGTCTAGGGCAAACTTCTTAAGTGTGGGGTTGTATACCTGACCATGAGGGCTGCAAAAAATAAAATAATGGCAGTAGTCAAAAGGTTTCTGAATGGGCCATGACAAAAACATTTGAACCAAATGTGTAATAAATCTGAGGTGAATTGGGCAGCACGCCCCTTTGCCTGGGACACCTCACTGCAGGTTCGGTTTTGAGCACAGCGTGTATTTGCACTGCTGTGCTCTCGGGCCAGTGAGACTGTCTGAGATTCAGGACTGTTACATGTTAGGCCTTGCAGTGCCTTTACTGTACAGAGCTTTCTGTTACAGAGAGAAAACAGTTTAAAGATTATTTCTTCTTTTCTGGGTGTGGGTCTTTGGCCTGCGTGTGTCTGTGTGTGTGTGTCTGTGTGTGTCTGTGTGTGTGCATGTGTGTGTGTGTGTGTGTGTGTGTGTGTGTGTAGGTGCGCGCGCGCGCACGTCACGTCTGCATGAACAGTCTGGAAAAGGTCAAAGGAAGGCCTTGGTTCTCTTGAAACTGAGTCACTTGCAGACAGTTGGGAGCTGCCATGTGGGTGCTGGGAATTGAACCTGGATCTTCTGAAGAGCACCTGGTACTCTTAACTGCCGAGCCATCTCTCCAGCCCATAAAAAAGCTCCAGAGTCTTAATATATTCTTACCATTATCCTGCAGCTTTTATCAAGTTGATATAACTTTGGGTTGTATTGTGTTAGACAGACAAGCATATCTGTGTCCTTAGTATGAAAATTTGCTTTCATGGTAGAAATATATATAATAGAGAGTTGTTTATAGTAAATTTCTTTATAATTTATTATCAGTAAATGGTTGATTTGTATAACCATTTCATTTACCTATTATGTACAAGGGATTACATAAAAATTTCTTGGGTGAAAAAGGATTATAAATAGAAAAAGTTTAAGAAATAGGAAATTAAATCTGAACTTCCTTTTTTTTTTTTACTGAACTCATACCATTTTTGAAGTGTCATAAAGTAAAAAAAAATTAAGTCTAGCTATTAACTTTGAGTCTCTTGATAGCAGAAAATCATCAGTTTATGAAGACATATATACAAATAGACTATATTCAAACTAAGCAGAGTATAGTACCCCAGATCTGTTGTAGTGACCCCAACGAGAAGAATGAGCTTTGGTGGGGACAGAAGAGGTCGTCATTTAAGGCTGTGGCCCAGCAGCACAGAAGCACCTGTGTGTTTGTTACTTAACCTCATCATTTAGGTGTTACGTATGTTGCCGGGTGACTCATTGTACAGTGAAATTTAAAGTAAATGCTAGTGTCCTTGACGGTGGCAATAGCATAAAGAGGACCACATGAGGAGAAGAGCTCCCAGGCCAGAGCCTGTCCCTTCCCCAGAAGTAACCGCCACTCACCCGGCTGGAGACTTCTTGGCAGCCAGCAACGATCCAAGTCTTTATTCTGCCTGATAAAAGGTGGAGGCCCAACCTTGGTAGCATGTCAAGCTCCCCCAGTCACTGTTGGTAGTGGTGCATTGTGCAGGTGGGAGTATTGGTGTCGTAAGTGACTGGTCCTCTGTTGACTCTCACATGGCTCTCTGCGGCTGTGACGGGGCTCTAGTGACTTCCTTTGTATCAACATTTTACACGTCTGTTCACATGCATGTTGTTGGTAGATACATTCCTGTTTGCTGGGCTAAGGGGTCACTATATATTAAATTTGTATCCAAATTAGCTTTTAGAGATAAGTCAGTATTCTTAATTCTGGCAGTTTCAGTGCTCACGGCTTTTTTTTTTTTTTTTTTTTTTTTTTTTTTTTTTTTTTTTTTTTTTTTTTTTTTTTTTTTTTTTTTTTATCGTGCCTACATTTTAATTGAAATTAATTTTCATTTTAAGCACTCTTGCTGAAAAAAAAAAATAGATTGTTAAACTACATTTCCAGGCTGGAGAGATGGCTTGGTGCTTAAGAACACTTGCTGTTCTTGCAGAAGATCTGGATTCCATTCCCAGCCCCCACATGGTGGCTCCCAACTGTCCACAGTCATACACAAGGAGCACATACATGTACACAGGCAAAATGCTCGTACACATGAAAATTAAATCAATGTAAAAAAATATAACAGACAAAAACCACGTTTCCATGTTATTATAACGGACTTTGCATTTTCCCCCATGGAATGAGCCTTACACACCCCATCCAGTAACGCTGTGCTGGTTTGTCTATAGGTGGAGGGAAGCTGTTGCAGCCCGGAAGAAACTCCGGCGTCAGATGCGGGCCTTCCCAGCAGCACCATGCTGTGTGGACATGAATGACCGACTGCAGGCACTAGTGCCCAGTGCAGAGTGCCCCATTGCTGAGGAGAACCTGGCCAAGGGCCTCTTGGACCTGGGCCATGCAGGGAAAGTAGGCATCTCCTGTACCAGGTCAGTGCTCAGCGTCATGTCCTTGGGACTCTGCACCCCATTAGTTTCAGCATGAGTTAGACTGATGTATTTGTGGATGAAGATGCATGGAACCAGAAAGGAAAGACAGACATAGGAATGCATCTTGAGGGTTGTATTTCCCACAGTTGGGAATGTGTGACTTGTCCACCAATAGGAAAGGAGGCTCAAGTCTGGCATGACCTTGAAAGACTCAGGTTCCATTGGTATACTCAGATCAAATCAGTGATTTCTTTCTTTTTTTTCCGAGACAGGGTTTCTCTGTGTAGCTTTGCACCTTTCCTGGAACTTACTCTGTATGTAGTCCAGCCTGGCCTCGAACTCACAGAGATGTGCCTCTCGAGTGCTGGGATTAAAGGTGTGCGCCACCACCGCCCAGCTCAAATCAGTGATTTCTAGGTCTACCCTAACTTTCTGCTTCTAGACACTGTTCTCACTGTGCTTCCTTCATAGTCCACCTTCTGTATTCTTCTGTGGCAGTGTCCTTTTTTCTTTGTCTCCCTCAGCCAGGCCCTCCCTGCCGCTCCTCCCAGTTCCTGAGCAGTCCAGTTCCTCAGCTCCAAATTAATTGTCCAGTCATAGCTATCTTGGGCTTGGTGTTCCTCTTCAGACCCAGTGTCGATGTTACCTTTTGCTAGGGGCTGTCAAGCCGTCCTGCCTCCCAGTGGGCAGGCCCTAGGGAGACAGTGTGGAGGTGCCATAGGCACTGTCTGGATGGGATCTGGTTCTTCTTCCTCTGGTTACCGCAGGATGTTCTTTCTCTCTGAGCATTTCCTTCTAAGGTTTCATCTGGTTCATCAGGTTCCATGGTCATCTCTGTGTGCTGTATGTAAATGGGGAAGATAGTCAGGCACATACTCTGAACAGTCAGGGATTAGGGTCTTTACTCTGACCCATGGCTGCTCTGACACATGGTCTGGCTTCCTGAAGTCATTGTTTCTTGTGAATTCCTTCCCAATCCTGGTTTTTCTTCTCAGCTTCAGTCTTCATTGGTATTACCAGCCTTCTTAACTTTGCCCTCTGTTCTTTTGTTTTAGTTTTTCAAGACAAGGTCTCTCTGTGTAGCCCTGGCTGTCCTAGAACTCACTCTGTAGACCAGGCTGGCCTCAAACTGATAGAGACCCACCTACCTCTGCCTCCTGAGTACTGGGATTAAAAGCAAGCCTGGTACCCACCTTTACTGGTCATAATCCTAGGCTTGATTTTGTTTCTCAGGTTCACCCTCCTATAGTTCTGTCCTTGGAATGTACCTCGGGTCAAACCAGGTCTCTCTTTCTGCCATAGCCTTTCCCTAGATTATGGCTAGAAGCCAGCTTCCTCCACCCATAATAAAGGGGTCCTCTGATATACCCCATTGATTGTATCACCTCTTGTTAATGTTCCATGATGCTTTCTAAGTCTCTGTACCTTGAGCTAGACCCTACCCCCACTTTGAAGATTTTTTAAAAAAATATTACTTCTATTGTTTTCAATTATGTGTATGTCTCTGTGTGTGTACTTGAATGCAAGTGTGCACAGAGGCCAAACGTGTCAGAGCCCCTTGGAGCTGGAGTTGCAGATGGTTGTGAGCCGCCTTTGAAATTAGGTCCTTTGCAAGAGCAGTATATGCTCTTAACCACTGAGGCAGCATTCTAGCCCCCTAAACACTGCCTCTTAGTCACCCTCCACTGCTCTTTCCAAACTTGCCAGGCTTGGCGGAGCTGTATCATGGCTATCCCCACTTTCTGCTGCCCCCCAGAAGTTGTTATGCCTTCAGTTCTTCAAATCTTTGCTCATGTTATATTTTCTGTGGCCACTGGAATGAGACAGCAGCTCCAATCATGGTTCTTCCTCACGTGCTATGTTGCCCACTGTGTTGGCATGTTCTGTGTTTTGATTTGGTTTGGTTTGGTTTTTTGAGATAAGGTCTCACTGTGTATGTAGTCCTGGCTGGCCTCCAACTCAAAGATCCACCTGCTCTGCCTCTCAAGTGCTAGGATTAAAGGAGTGCACCACCATTCCCAGCCTATAGGCATGTTCTGTGAACTACACTAGCCATCACAGAGGCTCTTCTCTCCCATGAGAGCATGTTCTAGAATAGTAGGACTTTTGTCTGTTTCCCATAGCCAGCTCACTGTGAATAGTTCATCAGATATTTGGTGGGTTTGTATGACCTGTTAGTTTATCAGAGTCTAAATGCTCTCCACCAGGAAACATTGACAGTTACTTTTCACTCAGAAACATCAGTAAATACTATTTATTTATTTATTTTTAATTGTTTGTACAGTATATTTTGATCGTATTCTTTCCCCTCTCCTCATTTCTCTCTGATTCTACCCACCCAACTTCATGTTCTTTCTTTTTCTTAAAAACAAAACAAAAGATAACAATAACAAAATAAAACCCATGAAGTCTGTTTTCTATGGTCAACTACTCCTGACCATGAGGCCTGCCCTGGAGTATGGTTGATTTACAGTGTCACTCCATTGGAGAAAACCGATTTTCCCTCTCCCACTAGCTATAAATTACAAATAGCCTCTTGATTTTTTTGCTCACTTCCATTTCTCCATGCTGGCATTTTATCTGGCTTCAACTTGTGTAGGTCCTGTGCATGCTGTTACAGCCTATAAGAGTTTATATTTGCAATCAGTCCTGTTCATGCCTGAGAATTGCTGTTTTCTCAGACTTATTCATGACCTCTGGTCTCTTAACAGTCTTCTCACCTCCTGTTGCATATAGATTCTTGAGCCTTGAGGGGAGGAAATTGATGGAGACATCCCATTTAGAGCTGAGGGTTCCAGTCTCTCACTCTCTGCTTATTGTCCAGTTGTGGGTCTCTATGAATTACTACCTACTGCTAGAAGAAAGCTTCTCTGATGAGGACCAATTGATGGACTGATCTATGGGGATAGCAGTATGTCATTAGTAATCATTTTATTCTCATATTCATTTTATAGAATAATAATAGTAGATGTTCCCCAAGGGCCTATGACCTCTGTAGTCTCAGATTCTTAGCCTCATTAATTGTGCCAGCTATGGGTTCCATCTCATGGAGCAGGCTTTAAATCCAAGCAGAAAGTATTGGTTACAGCCAGTACGTTTGCACCACTATTGTGCTGTGGGTGTATCTTATAGGCAGGTTGCCCTTGGAGCCACAGAGTTCATAGCTTGTTAAGATTGGTGATTGCTTTTTCTCCCCCTGTAGTTTATATAGTACCTTCCAGCACTATTTTACTAATCAGTAGGGGGGAAGTTTCAAGTTGAGCACCAGCTCCGTTTCTCCATGTTTGAAAAGTATGTGTTGTCTTTAGCAGTAGGGTCTTACCATCAGGTTTGTGGGGGCAACCAATAGCATTGGCAGTATCCTATAATGTTTGAGGGAGGCCTGTGGGATCCCTTTGGCCAATGACTCAAAAAGATGTAATCTATTCCTGGTATTGGGAGAAGTAAACACTACTGATTTCTTCCTGTGGGTTGAAATAGCCTGTTTTGTTCTGGTATCTTTGTTTTTTTTATTCTTTGTAGGTTGAGGCGCCTTAGAAACAAGACAACTCACCAAATGAAGGTTCAGCACTTCCACCAGCAGCTTCTGAGGTCTGTTGTTCTCACTGTTTGTATTGTTCCTGCTTGGGGACTGTGTAGTAGCTCACTCACTGTGATCTGTTTCTTCCAGTAACGCTGCATGGGCACCTCTGGACCTATCGTCCTTTGTGGCTGAGCACCTCCCTGTGAAACATGATCGAATATTTTGGAAACTGGTGCTGGTGTTGCCTGATGGAGAAGAGCAGACAGCAGAGAGTCCTGGCAGGTCAGGAAGTTTTCTAAGTGGAGAGTTTGGATGCTAGTATGGAGAAGGACTTCTCTATTGAGAGTTGTAGACAGGCAGAATTGTGGTTCTTGGTGGGGCTGTTTGTCTCATTGTATGTATGGACACTAAAGGTTTATGTTTTAGTCTGTTTTGCTCATGATATTTAGGTTTTTGTCATTATTCCATATATAGACTTAGTCCCAAAGCTTTAAGAGTTGAGGATTATTTAAATCTATGGTATGGTATCCTGATTCATATCTACTTTATTTAAGATTTTGGAAGGAATTAGTCTGTACTTTGTCTGTCATACTTTATCTGTTTCATCTTAGGAAAAAATGTTTGACATTTTAAGAAATTGAAAAATGATATATATTTTCTTTTTTCTTTTTCTTTTTGGATTTTCGAGACAGAGTTTCTCTGTGTAGTTCTGGCTGTCTTGGAACTTGCTTTGTAGACCAGGCTGGCCTCGCTACCACTGCCCAGACATGATACTATTTTCTATAATCAAATAACTTCCAGAAATTATAATCTTAAGGCAACTATGATGCTGGTATAGAGTGGCTTATACCTGTAATCCCACCACTTTGAAGGCTGACAGAAGAGAATTGCCATGAGTTTGAAGTTAGCCTGGGTGAGAGTTAAGAGACCTGTCTCTGAAAAATACCAAATAGAGGCTGTGGAGAAACCTGAACTGAAATGTGAGGGCATGAGTACCTGAGTTTGGGCACCAGACCTCATGTAAAAAAGTGTAGTAGCCACACTCTTATAATCCCAGCACTGGAAGGTGGCGACTGGCAGTTTCCTGGGGCTCACTAGCCGGTTACCCCAGCCCATGTTGAAAAACCCTGTCTCAAACAAGGTCCAAGGTCATGTGGGAAGACCCTGAGGAGTGATAGCCAAGGTTGACTTTGGCTCTCCACATGCATGTATACACGATAACACGATATATATGTCAGTGTGGACATACTCACATACACAGTTCCCAAACAGAACAGAAACCCTCCAGCTACAGGTTAAGTTATTTTTATTCTAATAGTTATATTGAAATGTAACTCACATGTTATAAACTTTATTCACAGTGATTTTTATTCATGGGGCTTTACAACCATCATCTTTATCTTATTCTAGAACATTTTTTTCTCTAACTGTAAAACCTATGTTAAAAGTAATTGAATGATACATTTTTTAAAATAACAATCTTCCTGTTTGCTGAGTTCCTGAGGAGATGTGTGTCATATAGCAATTGCTTAAAGACTCAGGCATGAGACTTTTTTTAACTCTGTGTGTGTAGGTATTCTGCCAGCATGTGTGTATGTGCACCGTGTGCTTGCCGTGCCCACAGGGACCAGAAGAAGGCGGCACTGGGTCCCCTGGAACTGGAGTGAGCTGCCTTGTGTTTGCTGGGAATTGAACCCAGGTCCTTTGGAAGAGCAGCCAGTGCTCTTAACTGCTGAGCCGTCTCTCTGGCCCTGAAGAATATTTTGTTCGTTTGTTTTGTTTGTGCCCCTGTGTGCCACAGGGCACATGTGGACATCAGAGGACAAACTTGCAGGAACCTGGTCTCTCCTTACACAGTGGTTCTCAACCTTTTTAACTCTGTAATCCTTTAACACACTTCCTCATGTTGTGACCCCCCTCCAACCATAAAATTATTTCTGTTGCTACTTCATAACTGTAATTTTGCTACTGTTATGAATCGTAATGTAAATATCTGATACGCAGATGGTCTTAGATGACCCCTATGAAAGGGTCATTTGGTTCCAAAGAGGTTGTGACCCACAGGTTGAGAAACACTACCTTACAACATTTAGGTTCTAGGGATTGAACTCAGGTTGACAAGGTTTGGCAGCAAATGACTTTATCTACTGAGCTGTATCGCAGGCCCATTGTGAGAAGTTTGATTCTGTACAATAGTTTTTCATTGTTGTTGTTGGTCTTTTGAGGCAAGTTCTCGCTATGTATGTACCCTGACTGGCCTAGAACTTACTCTGTAGACAAGGCTGGCCCCAAACTCACAGAGATCTGCCTGCCTCTGCCTCCAAAGTGCTGGGATTAAAGGCTGCACCACCACACTTGGCTGCAGTGGGTACTTAACTCCAGGGGTGGTTTCAGTTGCTCAGGTCCTTTCCCTTTTGTTCACCATTTTAAATCACACTAGAACAAGCCAGTTGCATGGTGTCTTTCCACTTACTCAGATAACTCAGTAGAGGTCCTAACTCCATTTTAAAGTCAAACCTGTTTTTTCAGGTCAGCTTCACTGCAAGATTTGATGTCTCACTCTGTATCCATATAGTATTTTTCTTGTTTCCCTGAAGATTTGAGTAGTTTATTTTAGATTTACACTTTCATTCAAATGGTATTTTCTTTTATCTACAGAATACTGGAAAATTGGTTAAAGGTCAAGTTCACAGGAGATGACAGCCTGGTGGATAATACACATGATAATGCTGGTGATATCCAGACACTCACAGTTTTTAATGCATTCAGTAGTAAAGGGGACCAAACAGTTTCTGTCAATGTGTGTATAAAGGTGAGTGACTGTCACTTCATGTACTTATCATCATGATTTCATTCCTTTACTCAGACAGTACAGAATTATAAATTACTGTTTTTTTCTCAAAAGTGGTTTTAAATGACTTTGAGAAGATCGAGCAAATGCCATTATCTGTTTTCCTTTACACTTGATAATATTCCATAGCCATCCACTTGTGTAAGGTTTTAGTTTATATTCTAAGAGAGCAGAATATTCATTTTCTGTCACTTAGAAATATCTGAGATGGCCAGTTTTTTAAGAGAGGAAGTTGGCTTTTGCTGGTAGTATTGAAGGTCTCAGTCTCTGACTGATCTTGTTGCTCTTTTGAGGAAGCACATCATGGTAGCAGGGTGGATGGGGGTACACAGCAGAAGCAAGACCGTATACTTGACAGCCAAGAAACAGAAGAGAAGAGAGGGAGGCTGACATGTGTCCAGTGACCTAGAATCTCCACCAGACCCCAATTCTTCAGGACTCCATCATCCCCCACTAGTGCTAGGCTGGAGACCAAAGCTTTAAATTCATGGGCTTCCGAGGGGCATCAAGATTCAGACTACAGCATGGAGCCCTGGCTACCACAGACCTCCTTGAGAACATGATACAAGCTATATTATAACTTTGTATTTTATTTTTTGCTTGACTCAAGGTGTCACCTCTGTCCAAATAGCATGCCTTAGAGCCATTTTCTTGAGTGAGCACTTATCCCTGTTACTCTACTTCTGACTCTTTCATCTCGAGAAGCGTCTTAGTATCCCTATGCCACTTAGACACAGTATTCTCACTGTGCTGTTTTACCGAGAGAAATAGTTAAGTTTCCCAGCACTGTGTACTTCCTCTGCTGTGGCTCTGCTCATCAGGCCCTTGAGTTTGAAGTAACTCTGTGCATATAGCGTGCTTAGAGCAACGCCTGGCAGACACCTGGGGCCTGTCTGCTGTTGGTGTTGGCAGCAGTAGCAATACCGTTTCTTGGTTTAGTCCCTTGCCTGACAGTATGTGTCCTCTAGCTGCTTCTGAGGAAAGGGTATGTAGGAGGGAAGTTTTCTGATTCCTTTCCTCTCTGAAAATACACTTAGTTTATCCTCTCCTTTTCTATTGTTGCTCAGCTAGGTTTGTAGAATTGTAAGTAGAAAATTATTTCACTTCTTGTTAGTATCCACCCCTGATGTTGTGATTGTCCTTGGGAACCTTTTCTTTCTGTCCATGGGGTTCTGAAAACTGGCTCTGAAGTGCCAAGTGTGCCAGATTCCCTCATTCATTGTGTGAGCTTAGCAGGTCCTTGAGGTTGGAGACTTCATTTTTGGGCAGTGGTGGAAATGAACCCGGAGCCGCATGCATGCTAGGAAAGTGCTCTGCCTCTGAGCTGCACACGCAGGCCTTTCTAAGGAGTTTGTAGGTCTTAGGGGTCTTAGTGAGTTTTCGGAGCTGCCGTGAACTTGTGGTCTCATTGCCTCAGCTCCCCTGAGTAGCAGCTCTGATTATAGCCAGTTTTAGGCATGTAGTCTCCTGACGTGGAGACTCATTTTACTTCTGGGCCAATTTTGTGGGGTTTTGTGTTTGTTTTGCTTTTTAAGTTGCAGTAAAAAATGATAGGTGTCATTTTAACGTTCTGTATGTAGATATCATTGTACTATTTATATTTGCCCCATTTGACTCCCTTCCTCTTCCCTAATAGTCCCTCATGATGCCTGCTCTTCTTTCCTTTACCTTTTTATTAGACAGATGTTGAACGACATGAATTGATCCTCTGAACATCTTTTTATAAAAAAAAAAACTTATTTATTTTTATTTTATGTGCATTGGTGTTTTGCCTGCATGTATGTCTGTATGAGGATGTCAGATTTCCTGGAAATGGAGTTACAGACGGTTGTGAGCTGCCATGTGGGTGCTGGGGATTGAACCTGGGTCCTCTGGAAGTGTAGCCAGTGTTCTTAACTACTGAGCCATCTCCCCAGCCCAATCCTCTGAACATCTTATTCTTTCTACCCTGTGTCTGTCTTGTGTCTATATACTGTATTCTGAAAGATAGTCTTGGTAAGGCACATTCACCAGATGTATCCCCTTATTTCTGGAGGGGTCTAGTGCTTTTGAGTCTAAGGATCTAGATGTTAAGAGCTTCAGCTGTCTGCTCTGGGTCTCTTTTATATTGGAAGCTTTCTTCAGACATCTTAGCTGAAGCTGGCTGGCTGAACCTGAACAGGGCCCTTAAAAGTTGCCAGAAGCTCTGTTTGTGTAGGAGTAGATGGTCACTGAATGGCAAGCAGACCTTCATAGGGGGATTCCCAGATGTCTGGATCTGGGTATCTATTCTGTGAGCTATTCAGTTTCTAGAAAAACCTCATTCCATTCCTCCCCAATGAAGGTGCTAGTACTCAGCTAGCAGTGTCAGGGTCAGAGGTGACCAGTACCCCTGTAGCCTTGTCGTGGCTTCCTCTGCATCATTTATCCAGAGATTGGTCCCATTTCCTCAGTGCTGTTAAGACATATGCCTGAATTTCTTGTCTGCTGCAGGCTTGTTTCATTACGGATTGAACCTCTTTATACTTGTTCAGACTTGTTAAGATTACAGTTAGGTGGTCAAACATAAATGTAGCTGGAGGCTTTTCTATCTGTTGACTAGGCAGTTTCGTGGTCTCATGGGGGGCTGGCCCAGCTGTGTCTTTTTTTTTTTTTTTTGAGGCAGGGTTTCTTTATGTAGAATTCACTGTGTAGATCAGGCTGACCTCGAACTCACAGGGATCCTGCCTGCCTCTGCCTCCTGAGTGCTGGGATTAAAGGCCACCATCCCTGGCCCAGCTTTGTCTTTGAAGGATTCTCAGGGCGCAGTGAATGCATGGTGAATGGAACACTTTAGTTGTTCTTGCTATGTCTTGTTCTCTGGTACAGTCATCCTGATGTCTTTGATTCCGTTGCAGGTGGCCCATGGCACCCTTAGTGACAGTGTCCTTGATGCTGTGAAGAAACGGAAGGACCTGTTGGGAGCCAGTGGGCTCATGCTGCTGCTTCCTCCCAGAGTGAAGAGTGAGGACGTAGCAGAGGAGGATCTGTACTGGCTGTCGGCTCTGCTGCAGCTCAAGCAGCTCCTCCAGGCCAAGCCCTTCCAGCCTGCACTTCCACTGGTGGTTCTCGTGCCCAGCTCCAAAGGAGACTCCATGGGGAAGGAAGTAGAGGATGGTTTGTGAAAGAAGTCTCATTCATGGTGTTCATTTTCAATAAGTGGGTGGAGCTTGAGTTTGATGGATGGCAGGCAGTACAGGGCTGGGAACCTTTGAGACTAGAACCTAATTTGGTCTGTCCACTGCGTGGTGGGCCAAGACTAGCCCTGGGATGTGTCACAGATGCAAGTGAGTGTTATTACATGGGACCTTCCTCTTTTTCTCTTAAAGGTCTGATGTTACAGGATCTGGTTTCAGCTAAGCTGATTTCAGATTATATTGTTGTTGAGATTCCTGACTCTGTTAATGATTTACAAGGCACAGTGAAGGTAAAGTTCCATCATTTTAAAGGTCTATTGGCTTACTTACTTTTCCCTCTTCTGATCTATCTTGAATTTTATATAGGTGGTTTGGTTGGTTGGTTTTTGAGACAGTATCATGTAGGGCAGACTAGCCCCAAATTTACTAGGTAGCCAGGGTCATCTAGAGCTGATCATTCTGCCTGTTCTTCTGTTGGGATTATAGGCATGTACCATCATATCCAGCTTATATTAGGAATTTCTATTTTAATTGCATATTTTATACATACATATACCTTTCTAAAGATACAGGCAGGAATAAAAATAAAATTTAAAAAATGCCCATAGTTATGCTTTCAAATAATATATTAAATTGCTCACATAAGTTTTTTGACTTTGCTTTTATGAATTTAAAATGTCTTATATCTGAATGTCATATTTATCTAATTTTTTTTAGAGTGATTGCTCTTAGAAAATATAAAGAAATAATATTACTTGAGATTTCCTAAAAAGGTCTGCGGAAAATTATTTAGGAAAAGAAGTATAGGGATTAGTAAAACTAACTATATGGCCTGAGGATGTAGCTCAGTGGTACAACACCCACTTGCCATCTAAAAGGTCCAAGGTTTTATCTCCAGCACTATATGAAAACAAAACCAAACCAAGTACTACAGGAAGAGCTAACTGCAAGTTGTGAAGCATCCTGGAATTCAGAGAAGCTGCTAATTCTAGGAATAAGGCAGTGTGGCTCTGCTTCAGTGGGTGAAGGAAGACCTGGTGAGGTCCTAGGTCCTTCCAGGAGGGCTCTGCAGCCTCTACTTACCAGCTGGATACTACTCATGGGACTCCTCTTTGGTACCTCTGTGAGGCGTATCTCCAGGGCTCTAGAAATCCAAACTCAAGTGCAGAGAGGGCTTGTGCCCCTTCTCTGCAGTGGCTGAGATTTTGCTCTTGTGATACTTTTCTTCTACAGCCATGGGAAGAAGGCTAAGCCCCTTTAGAAAACTGTTTGACTATCTCCCCCGATTGTCTTGTTCCTCAGGTTTCTGGAGCAGTCCAGTGGTTGGTCTCCCGATGCCCTCAAGCCCTAGACCTTTGCTGCCAGACCCTTACTCAGTATGTTGAGGATGGCATCAGCCGTGAGTTCAGTGGTCGCTTTTTCCACGACAGAAGAGAGAGGCGCCTGGGTGGCCTGGCCTCCCAAGAGCCTAGCACCATCATTGATCTGTTCAATAGTGTGCTGCAGTTCCTGGCCTCTGTGGTGTCCTCTGAGCAGCTCTGTGACATCTCCTGGCCTGTCACGGAGTTTGCCGAGGTGGGGGGCAGCCAGCTGCTTCCTCATCTGCACTGGAACTCACCAGAGCATCTAGCTTGGCTGAGGCAAACCGTGCTTGGGTTCCAGCTTCCACAGATGGATCTTCCACCTGCAGGGGGTATGTACCCACTCTGCGGGAGGAGTGGAGGGCTACCCTTGGTGTTTTAGTGACACTCTACCAGGTGGTGGGTTCCAGTGGGAAATTCACAGTCCACCTCTACTGCACACCCACCTACACCAGCCTTTGGGTTCTGGGTTAGAAGAGAACAGGGTTTTATGGAGTGGGAGCTGTTGGCCTTTCTCCACGACAGTCCTGAGACTATCCTACCTGTCCCACAGGTCCCACTCACCAGAAGAGATGGGCTAGCTGAGATGCATGAGGCTTGTGTGACTGGCTCTGAGCTGCTGATGCTGCTAGGGCCACAGCACTTAGGTGCTGGCTTATGTCAATGTTCCTTTAAAGCCTGACTGTGCCAGGGGATGAGGCCTGTGGTCTGTTTGATGCAGACTCCACAGGTAGCCCAGGCTGGCTCAAACCTGTGTTCTTTCCTATTTTAATGGCACTGGGAAAGAGGGAGCCTGCTTACTATTTAGCTGGCAGAGCTTGGATCCTTACGTACATATTCTCCATATTTCTTAACTACACAGTAGCCCTCTAGTAAGGAAACTGAGCATTAATAATAGTTCATGTTCACTGATTCTTGGTCAAACCTGTAACTTTCTCTGCAGCGCCCTGGCTCCCTGTGTGTTCCATGGTCATTCAGTATACCTCCCAGATTCCCAGCTCATGCCAGACGCAGCCTGTCCTCCAGTCCCAGGTGGAGAACCTGCTGTGCAGAACATACCAAAAGTGGAAGAGCAAGAGCCTCTGTCCAGGCCAGGAGTCGGGGCCTTCAGTTGCTGAGATCCCATGGGATGACATCATCACCTTATGCATCAATCACAAGCTGAGTGACTGGACACCTCCCAGGCTCCCCATCACAGCAGGTAGTTGTCACTCAGTGTCATAGGGGCTGGGTCTTCATGAGACTTTCCTGCTCTGATTTTAACAGAAGAGGGAGTTGAGTTTGTGTTTGCTTTTTTTCTAAATACGGTCTCACTCAGTAGCTCTGACAAGCTAGGAACTCACTAAGTAGATAGGCTGGGCTGGCTTTGAACTTAGATCCACTTGCTTCTGCCTCCTGTGTAGCGAGATTAAAGGGCATGCATTACCATCTCTGGCTGAAAGTTGTTTTCTTGATACTCTTTCTCTTTCCTGTGTCCCATCTTCCCTTTCCTCAGCACTTCTCTTTAAGGGCAGTGATTGCCAGGGGACTTAACTTAGGGAAGAGCTAAGGTTTGACTGGGCATGGTGGTCCGTGTCTTTAATCCCAACATTCAGGAGGATCTCTGTGAGTTTGAGGCTAGCCTGGTGTACATAGCAAGTTATAGGACATCCAGGACTACATAGAGACACCCATTCTCAAAAAACAAAAACAATGCCAGGCATGGTAGTACATATCTTAATTCTAGCACCTCGGAGGCAGAGGGAGTCAGATCTCTTGAGTTTAAGGCCAGCCTGGTCTATAGAGTGAGTTCTAGGACAGCCAGAGCTACACAGAGAAACCCTGTCTTGAAAAAAACAAAACAAACAAAAAACAATAGATTTAAATTAGTTAATTTAAATCTAATTAATTAATTTAAAATAATTAAAAAACAATAAATTTGAAAAGGTTCTAGGAGAGCATAAACTCCATTCCCTGAAATAGGCATCCTAGGTTATTACTTAGAGGGGTTCCCTGGCTCTGAGAGTTCTTCCTAGCCCTTCCATAGTCTGCATGAATGAATAATGAAGCATGCATGAATATACATATATATGGATATTTACATACATTTTAAATCTGTTTTTGTGCTGTTTTCTCAGAGGCGCTGAGTGAAGATGGTCAGATATGTGTATATTTTTTCAAAAATTGTTTAAGAAAATATAATGTTCCGCTGTCATGGGAACAAGCCAGAATGCAGACACAGAGGGAACTACAGCTGAGTCCAAGACGGTGAGGTCCATGTTCAGTGTGTGTTTCTGTCACTGTTGTAAGCCATACTGTACCACATCAAGAACACTAAACCTATCCTGTTATGGACCAGTTCTGATAACTCTGCAGGGCACAAGGCATTCCCACAGCATAGACACATTTTAGAGCAGTTACAGGTACCTCCCTCCATTTATCAGATGAACTCAGGTCAATCTTAATTGGAGAAGGCAGAAAAAAAAGGCTAGTTTCTCATCTCATAAACCTAGTTCACAGACACCAAATGCATTCCCAAGTAGCCTTTGCCCCAGGATAAACAGTTTCAGCAGTAGAAATCTGTTAATAAAATTTGCTGCTACAAGAGAAAAGCAGGTGGTCATTTCAGAAAGTGATGAAATCATTTTTTAAATTTTGTATTTATTTTGTATATATGGATGTTTTGCCTACATGTATGGCAATGTATCACTTGCATGCCACTGTTGTATTCCCTAGAACTGAAGCTACAGACGGTTGTAAGCTACATGCAGGTGCTGGGAATAGAACCTGGGTTCTTTGGAAGAGCATCCCGTGCTGTCAACTGCTAGCTCATCTCGGGGCCCCCCAAAGTGAACTTCATAACTTAAACTCAGGGTCAGATAGATGCTCAGCAGGTGAAGGTACTTGCTGTTTGTACCTGGCACCCTGAGTTTGAACCCTGGTGTCCACTTCAAGTTGTAAGGAGAGGACTGACTCCACAAAATTGTTCTCTGACGTCTTCATGTGTACCGTGATACTTGCTAGGCTGCTGACTTACTTTCATTTCTATTGCTGTGGTAAAATACTCAAAGAAACTTGAAGAAAGAGGTCATCTTAACTTCCTATTCCAGATTATAGTTTATCACTTGGGGAAGTCAAAGCAGGAGCTTGAAGCAGCCATTCACAGTTAGGAGCAAAGAATGAATGCATGCATGTTGATTCCTTCAGTAGAGTGGTGCTGCACATGGTGGGTTGAGTCTTCCCATAGCTTCTGATGGAATCAAGACAGTCCCCCACAGACATGTCTACAGACCAACTTGTTCTAGACAGTCCTTCTTGAGACTCTCTTCCCAGAGGAGTCTGCATTGGTTCAAGCTGACAGTTCAAACTAACCACCACAGCTACCTACCATAAAGCTGACAAAACAAACACCCCAGTAAAATAAAAGCAACAACAACAACAGAATCGTGTTCTTCAGTACATTAGACACGAAAGCCAGAACCAGCCTGTGCTGTCCATGTGGTCACTAACAGTGGCTAAGAACACTTGCTCTTGCAGAGGACCCAGGTTCGATTCCCAGCCCCCATACGGTGGCTCACAACCACCCATAACTTCAGTTCCAGGGACCTGATGCTCTCTTCCGAACTCCTTGGGCACCAGGCACATATATAGTGTACACACACACACACACACACACACACACACACATACATACAGATATACATACGTACGTACGTATGTACATAGGCCAAACTTGAGTGTTTGAGTACAGATAAAATAAATCTTAAAAAAAAAAAATCTGCTTATAGCCTTAGTATATGGAGCTGGAGAGGCGGCTCAGTAGTTAAGAGCATTTGTTGCTCTTCTGGAGAACTCAAGTTTGATTTCCAGCACCCATGACGGTCCTCTGTAGTTGTTGTTTTACTCTTTGAGGGGCCCAGCTCCCAAATAAATACACACAGAGACGTATTATTACTTATGAATGCCTGGTCTTAGCTTGGTTTATTTCTAGCCAGCTTTTCTTAAATTATCCCATCTATCTTTGCCTCTGGACTTTTACCTTTCTCTATTTCTGTAATATCTTTCTTTTTTCTTACTTTGTTGCTGTCTGTGTAGCTGGGCGGCTGACCCCTGATGTTCTCCTCTCCTCCTTTCCTTGCTCCTTGATCTTTTTCTCCCAGATTTCTCCTTCTATTTATTCTCTCTGCCTGCCAGCCCCACCTATCCTTTCTCCTGCCTTGCTATTGGCTGTTCAACTCTTTATTAGACCAATCAGGTGTTTCAGACAGGCACTGTAACACAGCTTCAGAGTTAAACAAATGCAACATCAAAGAATGCAATGCACCTTTGCATCTTAAACAACTGTTTTACAACATAAACAAATGTAACGCATCTTAAAATAATATTCAACAATCTGCAATCACCTGGAATTCCAGTTCTTGGGGATTTGATGCTCTATTCTGGCCTCCATGGGCTCCTGCATGCTTGTGGTATACATAAACTCAACACAGGCCAATATACATAGACATAAAATAAATCTTAAAACATGAACACACGAGAGAGACAGACAGACAGGTATAAGAAACAAAGCTCTAGATTGAAACAGCTCTAAGAGCCCAGTGCCTCTAGGTAGTGCAGCTTGTGAAACCAATAGTCTCTGTCTTTCTTTCTTTTGACTGTTTTTTTTTTTTTTTTTTTGGAGACAGAGTCTTACTATGTAACCCTGGCTGGCCTGGAATTCATTATGTAGACCAGGCTGGCTTTGAACACAGAGAACTGTCTGTGCTTCCCAAGTGTTGGGATTGAAGGCACACGCCACCGTGCCTGGCCAGCAGTGTCTCTTGGTGTGTGAGAATCCCTGTGTAGCACATAGCATCAGAGATGCCATCTTGTTGCTGTACTCTCTGACTTGAGGGAGGTCCAGGGCGGGCACAGGGCTGACATGGGCATAGACCACCCAGTAGAGTACATGCATCTTGAGCTTTTGCCCATAGAGGGAACACGTGTCCAGCTGTGTCTGTGTGCTTTGCATCTGTCTTGACCAGAAGGACTCCACACTTGTGCTTTCAGTTCGGGGATGAAGTCTTTTCATCCTTCTACAAGCAGTTTTTCTACTCCACTGCCTCACGTGCTCCATAAACGGAAGAAAAATGAAGAGAGTGGCCGAGAGGGGGCGCTGAGCACAGAGGATCTGATGCGCGGAGCTTCTGCAGAAGAGCTGCTGGCACAGTGTCTGTCCAGCACTCTGCTGGAGGAGAAGGAAGAGAACAAGAGGTGAGTGTCCCCTTCCTGTGCATGTGTGCCCTTCCTTCCGCTTCTCGAAGGACAGGGCGACTGACTGCTGTTGGTGAAGTCAAGACAGCCAGGGGTAGAGAGGAGCAGCTGGGCCAGCTAGTGTTATTGTAATGATGAGACTTTAGTTCAGAAAAGAAAAGGAAGGAAAGAAGACATTTATAAAGTAAAAGCTTGGAACTAAAGGAATGGCTCAGAGGTTAAGAGCACTTTGCTGCAGCCGGGCGGTGGTGGCGCACGCCTTTAATCCCAGCACTCGGGAGGCAGAGCCGGGCGGATCTCTGTGAGTTCCAGGCCAGGCACCAAAACACCACAGAGAAACCCTGTCTCGAAGAAGACCCAGTTTTGGTATCCACACCCACATCAAATGGCTCATAACTATCTGTAACTCCAGCTCCATGGGATCTGACTCCACTGAGCACTCATGCATACTCACAGATGTACACACACACACACACACACACACACACACACACCTTTACATAATTAGAAATAATTTTGTTTTTGATTCCCCCCCCCCCAGGATTGTTTGTATAGCTCTGGCTGCCCTGGAACTAGCTCTGTAGACCAGGCTGGCCTCGAACTCACAGAGATCCACGTACCTCTTCCTCCCAGGTGTTGGGATCAAAGGCGTGCGTCACCACTACCCAGCTCTGAAAATAATTTAGCTTCATATCCTATGGCTTCCCTTGGCTGGTGGCTTAGCTCGCCTCTGCTTCTTCCAGGCTTTCAATAAACTCTTAAAAGATGACTATGCTCTAGATAGAATAGAATAGAATGTTTCTAGGTTTTATCACTTGAAATTGGCTTCTTTGTTTATCATTTTAAAAGTCTGTGTTAAGTTTTCTAGAGGGAAATATGTGTAGCTAGGTCTACTTAGCTTAGTCTACCATGGCTGGCCACTGCCTTTTGGCCCTTGGGGAGCCTGAGGCTTTAGTGGATCTTTTCATACTAGGTGGGCAGGAGCTGGTCCAGACCCTCCTCTGCATAACTGACTCCCTTCCTCTTGTCCCTCCCTCCTCTGTCCTCACTGGATGCTCAGTTTTACTGAGAAACAGAAGTTGGTAAGGGCTGTCTTCCCACCACCACTGCCTGCCACACCTTCCAGCAGAGGAGTACTTAGGTGTCCTGCTGTGCCTCTCCCCTGGGTTGCGATTCACCTCCAGCCCACTCCCAGCACTCAACCCACAGGACTCTTGAGACATCTCCCCCCCCCCCCAGTCATGCATGTCAGCTCACGAACCTGCAGGCATACTGACCCATCTCTCTGATGTGGCCTCCTTGTCTCTAGTCACCCCTGCGGGCTTCTCCTTTAACAGTGAGACTCGATCAGAACAGCTGTGTTAGTCACTGTTCGGCCCCTTTTGTCTTTTGTAGCCTGCACACTTGAACCCCTGTCAGTGATCACATCCTATCTTCTCATCCTTGTTTCGAGCCCCCTTCAGGGATTTTCCTGTTTTTCTTTAGCAGTCAGACCTACTCTCTGGACTTCATCTTTGCTCCTTATTTGCCTACCCACTCCTCCATAATTTCATCCAGTTTCACGAGTATTTGAATACTGTCAATCTTGTAATAAACCCCAGAATTCCACACCGTTGTCCTCTGACCTCCATGTGGGCCTCCACATCCACATCTATACATGGACACACAGAGCAGTAAGTTTAATAAAGGTAAAATGAGCGGTAGTTACGGTTTTGCTTTTCTGTGCTCTGATGTTTCTCAGTTTGAGATCTCGTACTGTTTCAGGTTTGAAGATCAACTTCAACAGTGGTTGTCTCAAGACTCTCAGGCCTTCACAGAGTCAACTCGCCTTCCTCTCTACCTTCCTCAGACACTCATATCTTCCCCTGACGCTATCAAAACTCCGACTGCGGTGAAAACATCTCCAACAAGAAGTCCTCAGGTGAGAACGGGGTGCACTTGGCATGTACAGAATTAAAGACTGAGAGGGGTGCCAGCCTCAGTGGACCATACCTTTAATCCCAGAACTCCAGGAGTCTGAGGCCAGCCTGGTCTACACAGTGAGTTCCAGGCCAGTCAGGGCTACACAGTAAGACTGAGAGACTGTGTTAGATTCATCATGTGATGCATTAACACATGGAAGTTAGACCTTTAAAACTTGATATGCCAGTGTTACTGAGAGCCAATTATTTCTGAGTTCCTGCCTGTGAAATAAATGGAGAGTAGACCTAAACACAATAAACTGAATGTAGCTCAGTTGGGAGTGCTTACCAAACATGTAGAAAGCCTTGGGTTCATTCCCTAGTGCTGAATAAACTGCTTACCTAAAAGCCAGTGTTGAAGGCAGGAGGATCAGAAGTTCAGGCTCAAACTTGGCCACATAATTCACTGAAACAAAGAACGAAACACAAAAGAAAGAACCGAGCAAAACCGTACTAATGATGTGCATTAAACAGAGAGTAACCAAGGCGGGTCTTAGCTACTTTGCTATAGCTGGTAAGACACCATGGCCAAAAGTAACTTGGGGAGGAAAGGCCTGATCTCACTTCCACATCACAGTTCATCAACAGAGGCAGTCAGGGCAGCAGCCTGGAAATAGGAATTGGTGCACAGGCCGTGTACAAATGATGCTCACCAGCTTGTTCCTCCTGGTTTGCTCAGCTTGCTTATAGTACCCAGGACTGCCAGCCCAGGGATGGCACCACCCACAGTGAGCTGGGCCTTCCCCCATCAATCAAGAAAATATACATCGGGCCAATGTGATGGAGGCATTTTCTCAATTTGGAGGGGGTTCCTTCCTCCAAAATTGGCTAGATTATGCTAAGTTGACATAAAGCCAGCACAATTGACACTTGTCAGCTTGACACAAACCTACTGCTATTCAAGTAGGACCTTTGCTCTTTGATTTCCCCAACCAAGATTTCATGTTAATATTAATATCACAGACTGTAACATGTCAACATTCAAAAGTCTCACCGTCTTTAACGATTTAAACACTTGCCGGGTGGTGGTAGCATACACCTTTAATCCCAGAACTCAGGAGGCAGAGGCAGGTAGATTTCTGGTCTACAGAGTGAGTCCCAGGACAGCCAGGACCACCCAGAGAAACCCTGTGTCAAAACAAACAAACAAACAAAAAATATTTTAACATTTTTAAAACCTTTAAAAGTTCTGTCTCTAAACTATCTAAAGACTCTCTAAAATACCCAGAATCTCTGTAAAATATATAAAGTTTCTGTAAATATCCAGTCTTCAAAATTCCAGTCTCTGAAAGTTACGAGTCTCTGAACTATGGGCACTCATAAAATAGGAAATAAGTTATGTACTCCTTATTCCAAGAAGGAAGAATAAGGGCACAGTCAAAATTGTCAGGTGAACCCAGAGTCCCGACAGTGAAAGGTTGCTGTCAGACTTCTGGCGTTCACTCACAATCTTCTGAGCTCCTTGGAAGTGCTTAGACAGCTGTCTACAGCACATGCAGCTTGTCTCGGAGGCTCAGGCTGGCTCCACTCCACAGCTGCTGCTGACCCTGGTGGTCATCTCCACAGTGGTTGGGTCTCCACTGGAGCCGGGCTGCTCCTTCACCAACAACTTCTCTTGGGCTCTCTTCAGGGGCTCTAGCCCTGCCACATGGTACCAAGCCTTATCTCACCATAACCCCTTCAATCCTGGGCCTTCTACTGTGGTTGAGAGCACCAGTGGCCTGCCCTGGCCTCTCACTGTGCCAAGCCTCAGCTGCTCTTCACGACCCCTTCATGCCTTTAAACAGTACGACCTAGGAGAGTCTTACACTACCAAGTTCAGCTGCCAACATGAGATTGCAGCCTCAACTCCCTCTGGACCACAGCTTCTGTGTGCTGATCCTGAGTAAACACTTCCCAGAAGATTTCATCTCAATGAAGCTGGTCTCTTCTTAATCACAGCTGATTCTTCAGCCCCAGCTGACCAGCATCCATTGTCCAGCAAAGCAGAGGTTTCACTCTATCATACAGGCAACCCTAATAGAGTATTTGAGGGACTCACGAACTTCCCTCTCCAGCTTCACAAGCTAGGCTTTCATCTGCACTACTCTCAGGGTTATTTTCCAAGTTCCCAAAGCAGTTCATTAAACTCCGGACACAAAGGCTTTTCTAGTCCAAGTCCCAGAGTATTTCCATAATCCTCCAAAAATTATAAGGTCACATCTGTCACAGCAATATCCCCAGGCCTGGTAACTAATTTCTTAATTAGGGTTTCTGTTGCAGTTTTATAGTCATAAAACACCATGACCATAAGCAATGTAGGGGAGGAAAGGATTTATTTCCACTTCAGTTTGTAGTCCATCATCCAAGGAAATCAGTGTAAGAACTCACCCAGGGCAGGAACCTGGAACCTGATACAGAGGCCATGGAGGAAGCAAGCTGCTTCCTGGCTGCTTCCATGGCTTGCTCAGCCTGCTTTCTTATAGAACTCAGGACCCACAATGAGCTGGGTCCACCCCCATCAATCACTAAATAAGAAAATATCCTACAGGCTTGCCTGTAGACCAGTCTTGAAGGGACATTTTCTCAGTTGAGGTCCCGTCTTCCATAATAACATTAGCTTAAAACCAACCAGCACAGAAAGGAACAATAATAACTCCTGTCTGTGGGACCACAAAACGCTGAACGTTGGCATTGACCAGACTCAATTCTGCTCTTAACTCTTCATAGGGAAAATTAATAAATGGAGAAGGTAAGCTCACAGAAGTCAATTACACCTTAGAATAGTTTTTCAAAGCCAGTTCTTCTGGGCTCCGAAGTCTCTCCATGTTTTTTTGGGGGGCTAAGAAAGCAGAAGCAGCTTAATGGAAGATACATGCTGCGGGACAGGTGAGGTGTTTCTGGAGTGGGTTAGGAAGCTTCTTGATAAGGAAGGCTGGTAAATTAAGACAACATACTGCTTCCACTTATAAGTTTGGTTAATACTTTAAAGTAGTCTTCGTTTTGACTTACTGTGAGACATGGTGATGTATACTTGTACTTTGGAGATGGAAGCAGGAAAATCATGAGTTCAAGGCCAGCCTCTACTACATAGCAAGTGTGAGGCTATTCCAAACTACATTCAAGCCTTTTTCACCACCACCACCACCACCACCACCACCACACA